GGGAGGAGGCGCCCGCGGGACCGGCCCTCGGCGGGAGGGGAAGCCCCGAGGCCGGGCGGGGCCGACGGTGCCGAGGCCCTTCCGCCAGGCGCCCGCTCCCCGCGCTCTACAGGTGGGGAGCCCGAAGGCCAGGGAACCAGAGGCAGAGGCAAGCGGGGGCGCTCCACCCCCCCCGCCGACTCCCCCAAATTCCCAGATGAGACACGGACAAGTATTTTTTTTTCTTACAAAATGTATTCATCTTCCTTGAAACTGAAAAATAAATCTATGTACAAAACAGGAAGAGATCAGGCTCCCCTCACCCACTCGCACACCCCTGCAGATTTCCTCCCGGGTCCCCCGAGACCGGCTGGACAGTCGGGAGGTTCCCAGAGGGTCAGAAGAGAGGTCGCTCTGATCCGGGGCCAGTTTGGTCAGGAAGGGGGCGGGGCTCAGGGTTCACATAGGCCAGGGGCGGAGCTTCATGTCCCGGACTCGGTGGACAGAGGGAAGGAAGCTAGGATTTCCAAATTCTGGAAGCGTTCCTTAAACTCTGTGGGGTAGGGGGCTTGGATTCCCAGGAATGGAATTCTGAAGTGCCAAAATGTACTCGTAGGGGCTGAGCCCGGTCCCCGGTTCCCGGGCCGGGGGGACACCCGTGCTTCCAGGCTTTAGGGGGAGACCTCAGCCCCGCGGACTTAGAGCAGCCTTGGGCAATACCGGTCCGGCCGCAAGTTAGAACGGTTCTGAGATGGGGCCTGCGTTCCCGTGATTGGGCCTTTAAAGACCGGCGACAGGACCCAGGGTGAGGTCCCCATTGGCCGGCTGGGATGCTGGGGGAAGGGACCTATATTCCAATGACGGGGCAGAGCCCGGGTTCGGGCGCTGGGGTAGAGTCTGCTCCCGCACCCGCAGCCTCGGTTCCGGGTGGGGGTGGGGCCCGCAGGCCGGGCCTGGGGCGGAGCCTCCATCCGGTGCGGGGCGGCCTCCCCATGGGCTGATAGGGAGCCCGAGTAGTTCAGAGGCCCTTGCGCTGCCGCTTGAGGAAAGAAAGCGTGTAGTCGCTAGGCGTAGACACCTTCTGCTTCTTCATCTGCACTTGCGACTGCGCCGTGAGCTGCAGCTTGATGGCGCTCGAGTTGATCTTGGTGGCGACCAGCAGCTCCTTCATGCCCTTCATCTTCTCGCTCTGGAAAGTGAGCACCGGGCCCTCCGGGGGCGGCGACGCGGCGGGCGCTGGCGCCGGCACTGCGCTGCCGCCTTCGGGGCCGCGGGCAGTGCCCGGGACCGTCCCTGGGGGCTTCCGGGGGGCCCCGGGCACCGCCCCCTGGCCCGCGCCTGGGCCCTTGTCCAGCGCCGGCTTCTTAGGCGGCGGCGGCTCCTCGGGCTTGGACTCCCGCCGCGGGCCCCGCCGCCGGCCTTCCCGCGCTTCCTCGCCCCACGGCTCCTCCGCCTCGGCTGTCTCAGCGTCGCGGCTCACTATGCGCACCTTCTGCCGCACCTGGGCAGGATGGAGAGGGCGGGCCGAGGGAGAGGTTTCAGGCCAGGGGCTGGAACCCCAGCACCCAGCCTCAGCCATCCTGTCGAGGGGCCCATCTCATCTGCACCCAAAGGGGACGAGCAGACCCTCTTCAGGCTACCAAGGTCCTGACTCCTCTATAGCTGCTATCACCACCTGTCCTGCCCGGTCACCCTGTGCAGCCAACCCTCACCTGTCCCTCGAAACGGCCTAGTGACTGCACAAGGAAGGTGGCCCAGCCCACGTGCAGCACGGGCGTGGGGCTGCCCTCTTCCCACTTGCAGATGCCATCATAGAATCTCAGCAGGTGGGCGAAGCACTCGGGGTCCTGGAGGGCAGAACCCTGGCTCTGGGCGCCCTGGGCAAGGGGAAAAGGAGGGCACAGGTCAGACCCCTCACCTAGGCAGCAAGCCCTGGCTCCAGAAGATGTGAGCATGGGCGAGAGAATTCTTAGAACCTCTTTCCTTTTATAAAACCAGCCCTTAGCCAGGACTTGGGGGAAGGGGGGAGCCATCCCTTACCTCCATCCCACCCCTTCAACCAAATGAGGGGCCCTGGCCAAGAAAGAGATGGGCTTCCACCCCATTTACCTGAAAGCACCGGTAGAAACCCCCAAAACACCCTCAGCTCCCTCAAACCCAGGCCCAGGACTGCAGCTACTGCAGAAGAGAACACAGCTCTCTGCGCCAGGCCGCCTCCCTCGTGCAGTCTCCCGTCCTGTGACTGGGGGCCCTGCTCAGGTGGAAGGGGCACACAGGCTGGGGCTCCAGCCTTTCACCTGGGTCTGCTCCCCCGGCCGCTCCTCGCCGGCCTCCAGCAGGCTGGCCGCCTCCTTCAGCAGGTTGGGGATGACGTCATTGGCTACTTCAAAGAACTCCTTGTAGATCTCCTCGTCTTCACGGCAGTAGTTGTAGCTGTGAGAGCAGTAGGGCACTTTGGGGTCTCGGCCACGATGGGTACCCCCAGGGACGTGGTGGGGGGTGGAGCCCAGGTTTCTCTTCCTGGGTCACCCAGGGGCGGGGTGAGTGGTTGGGGTCCTCACTCTGAAATGATGGTCTCTGTGTCAACCCAGAGCAGGATCGAGGAGGGGGGCATGGGGCAGGTTCCACTGCTGGACGGTGGTTAGAAATTGGAGGAGACGGGAGAGAGGGAAAGGCGTGAGACCCTCATCAGGGGTCCTGACCTCCTGGGCGATGGTGGCCTGGGCTGCCTAGGGACTGGACGGAGAGGGGATGGGGCTGGGACCCAGGCCTCACTCCTGGATGAGGGTGGCTGGAAACTGGGTGGAAGGGGAAGAAAGGCCGGGCGGGGGCATCCTCACTCCTGGATGACAGTGGCCGTGTCGGCCCAGGCCTGCAGGGCTTCGCGCACATTGCGGTTGCGACAGTGGTAGCCAGCCAGGTACATGTAGGGGTAGATGTGCTCATCCCTGTAGTAGGTCTTGGCTGAGGCAATGCCCTGGGGACAGAGCAGAAGGGGCAAGAGGAAGATCACAGAGTCCCGCCTCCAATCCCATCTCCTCCCCCTGCCACCTCTCTACCAGCTGCTCCTCCCCGGGTCTGCAGGACTGCTTGCTGAGGCCTGGGCCAGACTGCAGGGGGCGGAGACCCCCACAGAACAAGGCTTAGGAAAGGGGAGGGGCCTGTCCTCCATGCTCAGAGCACATCCCTTTCTCAGACTTTCCAGCACACTCCTACACAAACACCAAAACCTCCCAAGCCCAGCCCAATGTCCCTCCTACCCTCAATCCCCACCAAGTTAACACCCCCTCCTCAGTACTCCCACCACATGTAACCTCTGTTATAGGCCAGGAAGGACAACAAGAGGCAGCAGAAAAAGGAGGGCTGAGGGGACAAATCCAGGCCCTACAACTCCCAGGCTGGAGACCCCAGAACACCCCTCAGACAGCCCTGACTGCACTGAACATGCACATGGTAAATACAAAATGAGGACTGGAGGGACGACACCCCCGAATACACAAAAGTTCTTCTCTCCTCACCTGCCCCCTCCCAGTGCCCAGGTAGAAGGGGACCCCAGCCACTGTCGGGCCTCCCTTCTGTGCCCTCCTGAGATGCCCCCACCTTGTGGTAGAGTGTGAGTGGGTCTGGCCGGCCAGGGGTGGGCTCCAGCTCCTCCAGATCTGCCAGGTTCCCCAGCGCCATGGGGTACCTGAGAAAGGATCATGAGTTCAGGCTGCCCCCCAGCCCCCTGAGGCCCAGCCTGGCCACTGCCCCCTACTGACCTTTCCAGATGTCCCAGGTCATAGAGTAGCCAGAGCAGCTTCTAGGGGCCAAAGGAGAGAGGTGTGAGCTGGGGGGAGGGGACAGGGTCCTCATTCTTCCAGGCAGAGGTGGGGTCCAGCACTAGCAGGGAACTCCCACCAAGTAGGAAGGGCCAGAATTCCGGAACCAGCCCCTTATTGGAGTCAAAGCCCTTTCATGTCTCAATTCCACTCTCCCAGGAGCCCTGGGAAAGGCCAGGCCAGGAATTATTAGCCCACGGTGCACAAGGAGTTGAAGCTCGGGACCCTGCCCAGGGTCCCACGGGCACCCCTCACCTGCTGCAGCTGCAGCAGCTCCAGAGAATCAGTGTGCAGGTCAATGGAAGGATTGATGGCGCACACCATAAACGCCACCTCCATTTTGCGGTCACAGCGCATGTAGGAGCCTTTCAGGTACAGCCAGCTCTTAGGGGAGAACAAGACCAGATGTCTCATGACGGCCACCTGAGCCTGCTCCAGGGAATGACAGCCAGGAAAGGGGCCCTTCTGCCTCCCCTTCCTGACACACGTCAGTGGTGATGGGAAGAGGGGAGTGCGGCCCAAGAAAACAGAGCCCCGTGGGTGGCTTGGGTGGAGGGTGTGAAAGGGGACAAGTTGGGGGGGGGCAATACCCGCTCAGCCACACCCGCGTTGACCGTCTGTCCCCTGCGGTCCTCATTGCCCTTTCCATGCCAAGTGACCTCAGCTGTCTGCTCTCCGTTGGGCCCAAACACCACCCAGGCATGGTCCTCAGACAGGGCCAGGTGGACATCCCGGAGACCCAGAGCCTGGCAGGCCCCCACCACTGCAAAGGCCACACCAGAGCTGTCCAGTTTGGTGCCTGTGGAAGGGGAGTTAATTAGAGGGTCCTCTGGGCTCTGACCTGGGGGAAGGGGGCCAGTAGCGATAGGCCATGCTCTCTCCCACCCTCACCTTCAACCTCAGACACTGCTGCCCATCATCCCTCTATCCCTTTCGTCCTATGTGTTCAAAGCCTCTCCCTCTCCTTTTATATCCCTCATCCTCAACAAGAGACATTCTAGGATCTTCCATAGCTCCATCCAGCCTTTGACGCTGCCTCTTCTCTTTCTCTGCAACCATACTATATATTTCTGTTAATTTACAGATTTCTTCATTTTAGTGTGCCTATCACGTTATAACAGGGACAGTAAAAACAGGACACTCTGGCCAACACTCTTTTTTCACACACCTACTGGCAGATCCTCCTAATTTATCTCTGTACTCTTTTCCTGCTGAGCCTTAGGTTCCTTCTCAACATGGCACTCCGGGACTGGACTGCCAGTAACTGGGCTTGGAGCAAAGAAAGCTCTTTGCAAGCCCTGAGCCTTAAGCCTCTTAAGGGGAAGCCCCTGGCCTGTTCACTTTCAAAACATTTTCAGAGATATTTCATTTAATTGTCTCAAATGTAGCCCGATTTTGGCTCCTCGCTCCCCAAATCTGCTGCGGCCCTCTGTGCCTTGTGCTGGGCTGCAGGACTCCCGTAGCTGCGCAACGGCAGGGATGGGGGTGCTGAGGGGGCAGACGGTGGGTTAACAGATTTCGAGCCAGGTAACTGGGGTCCAGTCCCAGCCCTGCCTTTCTGCGTGACTTTGGCACATCACTTCCCCTCTCTGGGCTTCAGTTTCCCTAGCTGCAAAAGTGGGAATAACACTTGTCCCACCTCACAAGGCTCACAGCTCTCAAAAGGGCTTTGGAAATGCTACAGTGTTGGGAAGAGGTGGGCCAAGCTTCCCAGGTGAGACTGGATTCTCGCCCCTGCCACCTGCCGGGCTCCAACCTGTGATGAAGCTGAAGAGGGATTGGATGTGGGCCCGATCCTTGAAGTAGGAACGGCTGAGGCTGTTCCAGATGACATCGGAGACCTTCTTCACCAGCTCGCGGCTGGAGACGCCCCCCTCTCGCGGGTAGAGAGAGAGGTCGACGGCGCCGCGGATCTGGGCGGTGAAGCGGGCGTAGAGCGCGGCGATGATGGAGAGGTCGGCCACGGGGAAGTAGGTGAGGCCGCCGGGAGGGTCGGGCGCGGGGCTGGGCTGGAAGGTGAGTTCGGGCACGTTGGTGGGGATGACGCGGTTGACAGCTAGGAAGTGCTCCACGAAGCCCAGGACCAAGGAGAGGAGCACCAGGTCCGGCTCCTCTCGGCCCAGCTCGGCGGCGAATAGGCGCACCACGTCGTCGATGGAGCGCAGCGGGAACAGCGTTTTCTGGGCGGCCTTCAGCCCCATGGCGGCGGGCCTCGGCCTGCGGGCGAGCCAGGGGAGGGAGGGTCGGGCGGGCGCGGCAGGGAGCCCCCTCCCAGGCTCGGCTAAGGTTCCACCCCGCCGACACACACAATCTCCTGCTTCCCCGCCCCCTTCACCCTGCGCTCGTCTGTTTCCCCTCTTTCGTCGGAGAGACCCCCTCAGCCGAGGCTGTAGGGCCTCCTCGTCCCCTACAACCCCAGAAGCCCCGGCCCCGATGGGGGCGCGCCCCTAGGACCACGCTGAGGCCCCCAGTGGTCGCCCCGCCCCCTCTCTGCGACCGTACTCCAGACCCCTAGAGTCCGTCGGGCTGGCGCGTCTAGGCCAAGCCCCCCAAGTCCCAAGGAGAGTCCTGGCCTGCGTCCCCCGCGCCCACCTCCGCGCTTACATCCCACACAAGGCACCGCGGCACCCGCCGCCTGGGCCTGCTGGGAAATGGAGTTCCGCCCCTCGGGCAACACTGCCTGCCGGGAAGTGAAGTCCCGGGTTCTCGCCGATCTTGAAATGGTGGCCGAGCCAGCCAGTCCGCGGTGGCTTCTGGGAGTGGTAGTGCCCCTGGCGCTCTGGGCGCCCCGGAGGTAGGTGAGGCGTGGAGGCAGCACCACCTTCCTGAGGTCCTCAGGGATTGGTCATTCCGTTTCACGCAGACCAGGTAGGCAGAGGAACCGCAGTGCATCCTGGGAGATGTAGTCCGGGGAGTGACCCGGCGTCCTCAGGCGGTCGCTGCGCTTCTGTAGGTAATCACGTGTCGGCAAGATGTGAGGAAAACGGGTCCGTTCAAACCCTGCTGGAGTACTGTGAATGTGGTCAACCACTCTAATTGGATATTTATCAGTATCCATTAACACGTAAATGTGCCTACTCTATGTCTAGCAATTCTTCCCAATTCTGTCCGTGAGAAAATCTAACACACATGCAAAGAGAAACATCTCAAGAACCATTGTAGTTATTTGTAATAGACTAAAATTAGAGTGAAGTAGCTCTGTGCATCCCAAACTGGATCTTCAGGGCATATGGTTGAAGGAAAACACTTCAGAACAATATTATGATAAGATAGTATTTATATTAACAATATTTTAAAACTTCTAAACAATACTAAATAATGTCTACAGACTCATTCATTCATTCCTTTATTCATTCAAGGAACAGATTTTTGCTGCCTACCATGGGCCAGGTGCTCAGTCCTAGGCACTGGATATATAGCAGTGAATAAAACAGATCAAATCTGCCCTACTTCACCTCTGTGGGTTTTTTCCCCAAAATCTATAAGCTTAGTTGGATCATGAGAAAACATCTGCAAACCCAAACGAGGGACATTCTGACTAGTACAATACCCCTGCCCAGTACTCCTCGAATGTATCAAGGTCATGAAAAACAAGAGCGAGAAACTGTTGCAGATTAGAAGAGACTAAGGAGGGCCGGCCCTGTGGCTTAG